GTAGAGCGATATAGAAATACCACTGTTAAAATAGTGCTCAATACATCAATTGTAGAGCGATATAGAAATACCACTAGTTAAAATAGTGCTCAATACATCAATTGTAGAGCTATATAGAAATACCACTGTTAAAATAGTGCTCAATACATCAATTGTAGAGCTATATAGAAATACCACTATTAAAATAGTGCTCAATACATCAATTGTAGAGCTATATAGAAATACCACTATTAAAATAGTGCTCAATACATCAATTGTAGAGCGATATAGAAATACCACTGTTAAAATAGTGCTCAATACATCAATTGTAGAGAGATATAGAAATACCACTGTTAAAATAGTGCTCAATACATCAATTGTAGAGCTATATAGAAATACCACTGTTAAAATAGTGCTCAATACATCAATTGTAGAGAGGCACAGAAATACCACTGTTAAAATAGTGCTCAATACATCAATTGTAGAGAGGTATAGAAATACCACTGTTAAAATAGTGCTCAATACATCAATTGTAGAGAGGTATAGAAATACCACTGTTAAAATAGTGCTCAATACATCAATTATAGAGCGATATAGAAATACCACTGTTAAAATAGTGCTCAATACATCAATTGTAGAGAGGTATAGAAATACCCCTGTTAAAATAGTGCTCAATACATCAATTATAGAGAGGTGTAGAAATACCACTGTTAAAATAGTGCTCAATACATCAATTGTAGAGTGATATAGAAATACCACTGTTAAAATATTGCTCAATACATCAATTGTAGAGCGATATAGAAATACCACTGTTAAAATAGTGCTCAATACATCAATTGTAGAGTGATATAGAAATACCACTGTTAAAATAGTGCTCAATACATCAATTGTAGAGCAATATAGAAATACCACTGTTAAAATAGTGCTCAATACATCAATTGTAGGGCGATATAGAAATACCACTGTTAAAATAGTGCTCAATACATCAATTGTAGAGCAATACAAGTATAGAGAAATAGGTCAGTTGTCTGAAGAGTGCACAGCGTGAAACTCTGGGTAACTACATGTTTCAGGTTATATTTTACTGTAATAATTCATTCAAAGAATCATAACTTCAACCATTGAACTTAACAGATGAACATCTGCAAACATATGAACATTTAAACAGGATATGATCATTGTAGGTGGCCAATAAGCCCTAAATTTCCTATTGATAAAACAAACTTACTGATTTTTCAGCCTGGGTGTTCATATCTTTTACTTGTTGTATCCAGTCTTTTTTAATAGTTAATATCTTGGATAATCTAGTCTATAAATGATGATACATTATTAAATTTTCTAAGTTGTTTATAATAAAGCCCATACCATTCATGTTTAATTCAGGACATGCACAGTGCAGTCCACTTTATTTTGGGATAGAATAAGTAGCAATAGAAAGATTTCCTAGTCATTCATTCAATTAACACGTGAAAATTCTGCATTCATCAATATTCACAAGCATAAAATTCTGGGTAACAAAGTGTTTTAGGTTCTGTTTTAATATTTCTGTAAACATATTCAAATGATAATGAACGCAAAAAAATCTACATTGAATCCTTAATTGAACGTAACTTTTATTGTATGATCACTTATAACAATGTTTTTAATACATTATACAAACTATACAAAAATGGAACTGAACATGATTTAAATAGAAACTTTGTCAGATCATGAATGGCAAGGGAAGTAACAAAAATATGGAGCAAAACATTCTGATCTGTATCTGAATCAGATTGATGAAATACAAAATATCTACTTACAACTAAAACAAGAAATCTGATTGGGAATCCACCATATGTTCCTCCGTCTAAACTCAGTAATCTCCCCTTGAATGGTGACCCACTTAGTAACGGATCATTATCTTGCTGCAATTCAAAATAAAAAATTAAAATTTCTTTTTTTCAGTAGAATTGGGTTAATTTTGTCAATCGTGTAGAAATTGTGGCTTGACTTTAAACTTCAATGGATTGTAAAGAGGTTTTCTAAGTAATTGATGATGTCACTTATCGCCAAGGGCCTTGTGTGATCGCATATTTTACGATTAGTGATGTCATCAAACACTTAGTTTAAGTGGAATTGCAGGAACCACAGACGTCTGATTGAAAATGGTGCAAATTGATGCTATTAGTGTCCCCAATAGACACATAAATATATAAAAAATCTCTTAACCATCCCTTTAAGGATTATTAATAATATTCTACTTACTAGATGTTGGCTGGGTGAACCTAGACTGGGTATAAAACGGGGCGGGGAGAAGAGGTTCTGTAGCCGTGGTCGTTGTTTATGTTGAAAAGCTGATAATGGAATCGTCTCTGGTGGTTCGTTACTCTAAATAAAACAAATTAGCATATCAGATTGTTCATTAGCTACTTCAAAAACACAATGACATGTCTTTAAACTTATTCAAGGTCATCAGACTTTCACACGCTGATCGAGATCGGAACCCTGTCACCATTTGCTCGACGAAAACCAAGCAAATGACTTCATGTAAAGAAACAATGCTCTAACACTGTGCTATAGGACCTTACAAATAGCTTGGCTTGGTGACTATGTACATTTAAAATCAAACATACCAAAACTTCAATATCAGGTATTGAATGTGTACCCAGTCCTGGACGATCAAATATAACACGATAAGAATTATCATTCGTATCTAAAGCTTCTATCGTACCAGTAAATAAACCATCTTGAGGTTGACGTAATCGAGCTGAAATTAAAAACAATAAAATGTAAGGTTTTTTTTTCTATACAGTGGACTAGAAAAGTGCCCAATGATGTCAAGGCATTCGACAGAGCTGACTTTGCAAGATGACATCAACAAATTTTTATAAGTATTTTTTTTTGGTGAGAAATAAAACAAATTATCGTTTTTCGTCTGAATATCCTCATCGTTCCTTAACAGTTTTTTTTTCCACAGAACACAAGATTGGTAATTCACCCCTGACCCTCTAAGACAAGTTTCTATCTACCTGTTACTTTGGTACCAATAACTAAATGTAATGGTATTTCATCAGGTAAATCTTTAAGATTATTAAACTCGTTCAATTTTCTTTGTTGTAATAACCTCATTTTATCTCTCTTCTCAGCCAGCACCGCTCGTTCTTCTAGAAAAAACGCTGGTGAACATCTAAAAAGACATAAACAATATGATTACTGAGAAGGCAAATATTTTTAATTAACATATCTGCTTTCATATTCGATTGGGGGTAAAATTGAAACAGACGGAACTTGTTCAGAACTCTCCAATTGAGCGCCATCATAGTATTAAATTAGTAGAAAATATGCATGTGTGGAAAAATTCAATTCAAAGTTGAGGGGTGTCAAAAACATCCATCATTTTTACATATGAACTCAACCAATCACAATTATACAGTTTCATGTTTGTAGAAAGAATGCATGTGTGGAAGAGTTCAAGTGAAAGTTGAGGGGTGTGACATGCACACTATATCCAGTCTTACACTAACCTTCTGGGTTTGCCCATCAGTCGTCTGATTTTATTCCACTGAATCCGATTTAATTTCTTAGTTTTCAATTCTGGAAACGATTCACGCAGACAGATACAGAAATCATTCTCTCCCAGAAATAATGGTCTGAAAAAAAAAAATCATATTATTCAAATATCGTATGATATATTAAGGATATAACTTTTAAAGTAATTCTACTTTCCATCTACAACTGATTATGGATAATCGTTCTTCAAACAAAATAACTTTGAATAAATTATTCTGCCCGACTATGTAAATATGTAAACACAAATAGAGAGGTTTTAACTGGCTGGTATTTAAATCATGTAACATCATGAATATTCATTATCTTGATCTCTAATAGGTTTTCTTTCTACTAACACAGAAGAAATATGTTAATAGTTTGGGACAAGTTTAAGAGACCATGGTATACGACCTGCTACAGTAAATGCTTATCTGCAATCCCTTCTAACAAATAGGGTAAACAACTCATACTTACGCATCTAAGTTTGAATAAAACCATTCATAACAAACCCATTTATGAGCTTTGGGTAGTTTTAATAAATTACGTAGCCGAACTCCAATAGATTGAGCTAGACGTTTATTCATTGCTGATAACACTGGAGTTTTACTCTGAAACATAACAAAGAAGGTAACAATCTGAACCACAAATAGAAACAAGAAATCCAAAATGACTCAATGTTTCGCATGCTTATTACAGGCAGTGTTATCAAGAGTTAACAGTTCAGACATGAAACAGTGCTTTACATCAGGTTTTAATTAACTTCTTGACTCTTAATACCACTTTGTCAGGTTTAAATAATTAACCATGTATACTAACCGGTGAAGACGACTTGGCCTGTTTTTTCGGTGATCTAGCTGGAGAATAGCTTGTCTGTTCATCATCATTATGGTAACGCTGATTTTTACGTCGAATTCGAGGAGGCTAGAAAAAATAGAAAAGTCAATATAAAAGCAAATTTAAGTAGAATATCAATCAGACATCTGTTGAGGCCTTCCTTTTTACATTTGAACTAGCCATTCTAAGGAGCCTTGCTGACTAACCTATGTCAGAGAGTTTTCTAATCATTAGGCATACAAAAAGGTGCAGAAAAGTGACATATTAAATTTGTTAATTTATTTCAGATTTATTTAGTAGGACAAGTATATATTTACACATCAAAGTCTGATGCCAGCTCAAGTATTGTTCACCACAAAATAAGTCTACATAGTTTTCTTTTTGGTTTTTTTTTTGCAAAAAAATTTTTCTAAAAAGAGAAATGGATTAGGTAATAGGCTTTTGCCTTTATGACACTTTTCCTTAAAGGGACAGGTATTCCATTTTTTGACCAATCATACTTTAGTCTCAGGAACTGGAATTTTCTTAGATGAGCTAAAAATAATAGAAGGGATTAAGAGAGAATTATATTGTTAATAAGGAAAGGGTACATACCACTCCTCTTCTGTTTGGTGAAGCCAAGGCATTGACACTTCCTGTTTAAAAAAAAAAATGGTTGAAAAAAAACTATACTTTTGACCATTCAAGTATCCATTTGTTAATTTTTTTTTACATTGATTTGGAAATGACAATTAAATCACAAAATGGAACTGGAGGAGGGGAGATAAGCTTACACTTAGAAATGAGCATGTAAACATACTGTCCAGAAAAATCTGTTATCAGTTGCAACAAAAAACACCTCTAGCTGAACAAATGAGCTCTTCTAATCATACTTACCAAATATAGCATTAGTTAAAAAAAAATTCATGTGTGCCAGAGTTCATTTAAATAGTATCAAACACCCATAGTTTAACATGTGAGACCTAGCAATCAAACTTATAAAATATAATATTGATAAAAAGTTCACTAAAAGTTGAAGGATGTCATATGGATGACTGACACACTATATCCAGTCTTGTATTTAATACAAAAGTTGATTATCAGGTTGTTATGAGGATAATTTCTTACCTTCTTTGATGCTAAGCAAGGCCTTAGCTGAGCCTGAAAAGAATCAGGTACAAATTGTTAATAATCTCAAAATATTAGTATTTGTCCATAGTCTTTTATTACTTTTGCTAATAGAATCAAATATTAATGTTTTTCTTATTAGATTTGAATCATGTGGGTCTATGTCAAAGAAGATCTACTCTAAATAGTGCAAGTGAGCTGGTAGGTATAGTCAGTGCCAAAGCCAGTGGGAGGTACATGCCTCCCTAGATAAAATGGTACCACACTTCATTTCTGAAAATGTTTTATCCGTTTTGCCCAAATGTTTGTCAGAATACACTATAGATTAATTCTCCTTTTCAACTATCTCAGACGATGCATGGGAGTTTTGCGACTATATGCCTACAGAACTGTCACATTTTGTATTTCGACTTTGACAGTTGTCCCCCCCCCTTAGTCAGTCCACCCTCTATTTGGATCCCCAATCTCTGGAAGCTAGCGACTCCACTTGGCCTAATAGTGATATTCTAAAAACCAACAAACAAAATCAAAATCTAAATCGATGGATGGATGATGTTGTCTCGGTGTACTTTGTGAGGGACAGAAGCATCTCATTGCGATAATTGCATGCGCAAAATATGTATCGAGCATTTGGCTTGTAGTCTCAAGTGTTAGCGAAATAAAATCACATTTTAAACCAGGAATCAATTAAAAGCAAGAATATTTATTACTTTCTACAGATTCTTCGGCCGCCATCTTAATGCCGCCTCTTTTTCAAAAGAGCTTGGTCACGTGTCAAAATACTGGAATCAGGGTCAAAGTTGAATTAATGATTAAAGGGAGGTAACCGTTATTTCAGAAATCAGACCACAATGGGCTAGATTACACTCACAATATCCTGCAGGTATAACATTTTATATACGCAGATCTACATTTTGCTTTTCCTGTGCATATCATAAGACGCCATTGACCTTACCCCATTATATTTTTTGCCATTCTTATCCACATTTTCGGATCCGATTTTATTCTAAATTCAAGGTCTCCGATAACCGTATAGTTTACTTCACCTAATCGATCCTTAAATTCCGCTTTTGGTCTGCCCGTTATCACGATGTAGCCTACTACCTTGCACAAAGCGGCCGCTTTATGTTTTCACTCCGCATTCCCGTTCTTTTTTCAAAATCTACACCAGGCGAAGATGCGCCAATACAAATCATGTTTTTACCCGCCTGCAATGATCTTTACATATTTCACAACCCCCCAACCCAAATAAAAAATTGTCTACGTCGATTAATATTGATCTGCAGGTGCTTTTTTAAAGTCTGACGTCATTAAAATCATGACGTCACATGGACCAGAATGTCGACTGCTGACTCATACCGATGGACAAGTCGGTAGATCCAGAAGACGAACAAGTCACAAGATGAATGTCAGACCAAGCCTACTTCTTTCTGGAGTTCTCTTCTTCTACTTTCTTCCTGTGGAAAGTTCTGGTGAGTACACCAACCCTATTTACAAAACAGGAATAAACTTACAGGGACAGACAAGTTTGCCACCCGTTTGACAAATAGTAGCCTACTTTAGTCTGAGAAACTGGAATTTTAGAATTTTAGCTTTCAAATCGATGTGTGTCCGTTAAAATTAAGACTGGTCATTTGTCGAGACTATGCCTTTGTAGGCCTATGTAGAAAAACATATATAGATATATAAAGTGAAATTCCTAGTTTATGATATTTTTGAAGGAATTGTACTTTTCTAGTACTTCTGAAGACTAGGTCCTATTTACATTTACATGTATTTAAGACCCAAATCAACCCCCGAAAATGGCTAATCTGTCCCTCCCTTTAAAGTAGCCTACTTAACATCTTGGGTGGGTTTGAATTTTGATTAGACTCTGTTAATTCATGCACTTATTGATTAATCTTGATTAATCTGAACTATTCTGAATTATTTTGACAGGAGATTCCGGGATAACAGAATTGAAAGTTCGGATAGATGGTCAGGAAGTTGATCTCGGAATACCGGGGTTTAACAGTCCCGAGCAGAATACAACACTCCGTATGAACGAAGGTAACGATTTTAAGTCCAGAATATAATATATTATCAGCTTGGTTGGTTGGTAGATGACAAGTTAACGTTCGCTTCCAGTTAACTGATATCACAGACTAGGTAGTTGTTAGTAGATGACAAGTTAACGTTCGCTTCCAGTTAACTGATATCACAGACTAGGTAGTTGTTGGTAGATGACAAGTTAATGTTCGCTTCCAGTTAACTGATATCACAGACTAGGTAGTTGCTGGAAGACGACAAGTTAATGTTCGCTTCCAGTTAACTGATATCACAGACTAGGTGGTTGTTGGTAGACGACAAGTTAATGTTCGCTTCAAGTTAACTGATATCACAGACTAGGTAGTTGTTGGTAGATGACAAGTTGACGTTCGCTTCCAGTTAGCTGATATCACAGACTAGGTAGTTGTTGGTAGACGACAAGGTAATGTTCGCTTCCAGTTAACTGATATCACAGACTAGGTAGTTGTTGGTAGATGACAAGTTAATGTTCGCTTCCAGTTAACTGATATCACAGACTAGGTAGTTGTTGGTAGATGACAAGTTGATGTTCGCTTCCAGTTAACTGATATCACAGACTAGGTAGTTGTTGGAAGACGACAAGTTAATGTTCGCTTCCAGTTAACTGATATCACAGACTAGGTAGTTGTTGGTAGATGACAAGTTAATGTTCGCTTCCAGCTAACTGATATCACAGACTAGGTAGTTGTTGGTAGTTGACAAGTTAACGTTCGATTCCAGCTTACTGATATCACAGACTAGGTAGTTGTTGGTAGTTGACAAGTTAACGTTCGCTTCCAGCTTACTGATATCACAGACTAGGTAGTTGTTGGTAGTTGACAAGTTAACGTTCGATTCCAGCTTACTGATATCACAGACTAAGTAGTTGTTGGTAGATGACAAGTTAACGTTCGATTCCAGCTTACTGATATCACAGACTAGGTAGTTGTTGGTAGTTGACAAGTTAACGTTCGATTCCAGCTTACTGATATCACAGACTAAGTAGTTGTTTGTAGGAGACAAGTTAACGTTCGCTTTCAACAGATACTGATATTGCAGATTGTTAACGTTCGCTTCCAGCAGATGCTGATATCACAGACTAGGTAGTTGTTGGTAGATGACAAGTTTACTTACGTACACTTCCAGATAACTGATAACACAGACTAGATAGTTGTTGGTAGATGACAAGTTAACGTTCGCTTCCAGTTAACTGATATCACAGATCAGGTAGTTGTTGGTAGACGACAAGTTAACGTTCGCTTCCAGTTAACTGATATCACAGACAAGGTAGTTGTTGGTAGACGACAAGTTAACATGACAGTATAGTTGTTAGTACCGTAGTTGGATTGTTTCGGAATCTTGACTTGTTGGTAAGACTGCATATATACATTTTCTTTTCCTAGATTTTGAATTCGTACAAGATCTAGACAACATCAAAGATTCGGAATTACTGCAGAATGAGTTGATAAAGAGACTAAGACGAAGTTCCGTTATGCAGTATGGTAGGTGATGCTTTTTTCTCTTCAATTCCTGAATTTTCAATTTGAATCCCATTACATTTCACCTTGCAGTCCAATTTCTGCAATTTTCAATTCTCACAATTCATAGCCGTCTTTCTGTCCACCCAACCTTCATGCAATGGCCTGTGTGAGATAGTCGTTACCAATATTGTCGGAACAGAACCACAACGTTGAAATATATTCCTATGGACAAACTGCCATGGGCCTACTCCACGCCTTCGGCCCAGGCTCCCATCTTAGCCCCTGACCTATTAGTATCTGAGGGTTTTGTTTTTAGACAGAAAAGGTCCGGCTTGTTTTAATAGATTGGAGAAAATGAAACAAGGGGCCAAAAACATGGCGGTCCAGTATGCTATTTTGGTGGATAAAGGACAAACAGCTCAGATGACTTGTCATTTCTGGTATGTTGTCAAAATTTGTCAAGTTCATAAGTTTATAAGAGTGACTCAAATTTTGTTCATTTTTGATAGTGTTTCATCCTTACTATAGAGCAGTGGTTCCCAACCTATTTCAGCCTCCACACCCCCGGAGAAATCACCTGGACCTTTCACATCCCCAAAACTTTGTTTTCAGCATCTGTTGATCTGAGGTGCTTTCTCAATTCAAAACAAATTCTTCTCCTACACCAGTTGGCAAGACCCTTGACACCCTAGTCCCACAAGCCCAGGGGATGAAAACAACCCAGGTTAGGAACCAGGGCTATAGAGGATCATAGTCAAATGGGGCATCTGCAAAACAGTACAGCAAATGGTTCAAACTTAAACATCTCGGTGAAAGCTCGATGACTTTGAATAAATCATCTTATTATTATAACACAATGATATTAAACAGAATCTAAAAAACAAAAAAACATGTTGTTACTCAGAGGTTCAAAGTTGTCTCTGACTAACAACGTGGGTTTTTTTAGGTTCTGTTTTAATATTATTAAAATATTCTTGTTATTATATTTGACAGTCAAGATGAAACTACGGATAAATTCAAACCTATGAACTGGTACAAGTTAAACCGTGCTCAGGATGGGTATTATCGCTTTAACGAAATAGGATTAGATATGCATGACAATCCCAAGAAAAATCGAAGGTCGAAAACAGTTGACCATACTTTGACTATCAAACGAGCTACTGAAAGTAAGTTACAAATTCAAAGAAAAATATTTTTGAAAAAATGAAATGAACTTTATGGAGTTTACGTCCTTTTTTTCTGCACCTTAAGGGGTAATGCGGTGTGCAAGGAGGGAAATTATTGCCAAGACAGCTATAAACTTACTCTTTTTTGATTTCCAACTGTTGAGGATCTTTAATATACACACGTGGCTTCAGTCAATTATCCCATACAACGCCTCTCTATGTCAGCATTAAAATATATTTGAAGCTTTTACAATAATAGTAGCAAATTTGGTGACTTATAGACCGTGAATGACAATTGCAAACATTTAATGATCAATTTGAAAAGACTCAAAAGATAATTGCTAACAATAGCTTATAAAGCTTAGAAGTACGTTTTGGTCACTTGCACCATCCGAGCTTGCGTCGACGTCGTTGTTGTCGTTGTCGTTAATATCATCCTCGTCGCCGACATCGTCATCGTCATCATCAACGGTGTCTTTTTGATCTATGCTTCATCCATCCAATCATCTGATCCAAAATATATGCCTCTCTACCAGCCTCTGATAGCTATTATGAAAGTTGTCAGCTGTAGTAGAGTAAAAAAAACTAGTTCTTGTTTGATTTTGATTTTCCGCAACACCAACAACTGCCAGAATGGCTATCAAGAGATTGAAAAAGAGGCAGATTTTTCGGACTACCATTCATTCATCACCTCTTCTATTCTAGATGATGTTGGATCCTATTTCTGTCATGATTTCAAAAAAGCCGATCGTCTAATCGGAAGAATTATGGACGCGGATGATATTAAGTCCATATTGTCCGATACTTCAAGCTTCCGATTTTTATACCATTTAGACGGTACGTATACATACATTTCAAATTAGTTTAACTTGAAGTCTAATACATGTATATAATAGTGCACTATATTGTATTGGGAAAGGATATGATATAAAGTTGTACATCTTATAGTGCTCAGTACCGTATTGGACTAATGATATTAAATGGAGTTTTATATCCTACTGTTCTGTACCTTATTGGACTAATGGAGTTTTATATGCTACTGCTCTGTACCTTATTGAACTAATGATATTAAATGGAGTTTTATATCCTACTGTTCTGTATCTTATTGGACTAATGAAATTAAATGGAGTTTTATATCCTACTGTTCTGTATCTTATTGGACTAATGATATTAAATGGAGTTTTATATCCTACTGTTCTGTACCTTATTGGACTAATGAAATTAAATGGAGTTTTATATCCTACTGTTCTGTATCTTATTGGACTAATGAAATTAAATGGAGTTTTATATCCTACTGTTCTGTACCTTATTGGACTAATGAAATTAAATGGAGTTTTATATCCTACTGTTCTGTACCTTATTGGACTAATGAAATTAAATGGAGTTTTATATCCTACTGTTCTGTACCTTATTGGACTAATGAAATTAAATGGAGTTTTACATCCTACTGTTCTGTACCTTATTGGACTAATGAAATTAAATGGAGTTTTATATCCTACTGTTCTGTACCTTATTGGACTAATGGAGTTTTATATGCTACTGCTCTGTATCTTATTGGACTAATGAAATTAAATGGAGTTTTATATCCTACTGTTCTGTACCTTATTGGACTAATGATATTAAATGGAGTTTTATATGCTACTGTTCTGTACCTTATTGGACTAATGAAATTAAATGGAGTTTTATATCCTACTGTTCTGTATCTTATTGGACTAATGAAATTAAATGGAGTTTTACATCCTACTGTTCTGTACCTTATTGGACTAATGAAATTAAATGGAGTTTTATATCCTACTGTTCTGTACCTTATTGGACTAATGAAATTAAATGGAGTTTTATATCCTACTGTTCTGTACCTTATTGGACTAATGGAGTTTTATATGCTACTGCTCTGTACCTTATTGGACTAATGAAATTAAATGGAGTTTTATATCCTACTGCTCTGTATCTTATTGGACTAATGATATTAAATGGAGTTTTATATGCTACTGTTCTGTACCTTATTGGACTAATGATATTAAATGGAGTTTTATATGCTACTGCTCCGTACCTTATTGGGCTAATGAAATGATATGGAGTTTTGTGTTATACTGTGCTGTATCTTATTGGGCTAATGAAATGAATTGTAGTTGTATATTGTCCTCTAACTTATTGAACTATTGAACTATTGTTATGTACCTTGTCGGGCTAATGTAACGCAAAAGAGTTTTATATCCTACTGCCCCGTACCATATTGGACTAATGATATAAAATGGAGTTTTATATATATGTACTGTTGTCCTGTAACGTAGTGGACTAGTGATATGAAATGGAGTTTTATATCTTATTGCCATGTAACGTATTGTACTAATGAAATAAAATGGAGTTTTATATATATGTACTGTTGTCCTGTAACGTAGTGGACTAGTGATATGAAATGGAGTTTTATATCTTATTGCCATGTAACGTATTGTACTAATGAAATAAAATGGAGTTTTACACCCTATTGTACTATACTTTCTGTAATCTTGAAATAAAAGTACACCATATAGGGGCAGGGGTAATGGAAAAAGATTTGGTGCTACAGCTTCGTCAGAACATCGTACAAGTGAAAGCTTCATATTAATATTTATATTTTTTTTCTCGGTTTAGAAAATCATCAAAGATACTAATGTTATATTGTGATTATTAGCTTATATCATTCTGAGAGTCCACATAGCTATATATATATATATATTTGATACGTTTTCCCCGTGTGCTACAGGCTGTGCTCGTTAAAGATCCCTCGACAGTTTGAAATCGAAAAAGAGCAGACTAATGCCGCTGTCCTGGCAAAATTTTCCTCATTGTACCCTGCATGGCATTGCCCCACTTCATTAGCCCACATGGTGCAGAAAAGTAAAACTCCATTCATTTCATTTCATTTTTTGATACGTTTTATTTTTCAGTAATGAGATCATCTGATGCCGAGATAAAAGAAGGTTTGTATAGTCCACCCTGTCCTTAGAATATAACGTTATCACCCGATTCGCCTTTTATTAGTTAATTCTTTCAAGAAGTTGTTAGTGGCTATTACTGCTTATAACATAACAAAGGCGCCTTTCCGCCTCCAGAGGTAAATGTTAGTTGCTACGAACAGCTAACAAAGGCTATCACGTTAATAATAACCCAATGCTTGCGGCAGCTAACAAAGGCTAACAATTATGCTGCTGCCAACAGCTAACAAGGGCTAACAATGGGCCAGAGGTAGCACCGGGGTATTGTATCTTGGGCATTGCCTGTACCAAGGTATTCTTTAGTGGGCCACGGGCAGAATCAAGCTATTAACATTGAAACTCTTGTAGTAGTAATAGTAGATCATTTTAACTGGTCCATTGGCTGCAGCAAGGTATTTTGACTGGCTCACTGATTGTACCGGGTCATTATTTCTGGACCATTGGTAGGAATAGTCTTTTGCGATTCGACCGATTGGAACGCAGGCTTTTAATACTGGCACACAGGTAGTATCAGATTATTGATATTGGACTCCTGGTAGTACCAGGTTTCTTGGGTCATTTGTGGTTCAGGGGTATGCTTATTGGATGACTAAGTATCACTGTGTTGTTACTGGGCTAGATGTAGTGCTAGGCTGCCAGTGCCAAAGCAATGTTACTTGATCACAGGTAAGATCTAAGTATTGTAAATGTAGATCTAGTCTATTGTTATTAATCCACCGGTAGTACTAAGCTATTGTTACTGGGCCACTGATAGTACTAGGCTATGTTACTGGACCACTGGTAGTACTAGGCTATTGTTACTGGTATTGTTTTGATCTACAGGTAGTCCTAAGCTATTGTTACTGGGCCACTGGTAATATTACGCAATTGTTACTGAGTCATTAATAATACTAGGCTATTGTGTTTGGGTCACTTGTTGCACCAGGCTATTGCTACTGGTATTGTTACTAGGTCACTGATAGTACTATGCAATTGTTATTGGGCCACTGATAGTACTAGGCTATTATTACTAGTTCACTGATAGTACTATGCTATTGTTATTGGGCCACTGATAGTACTAGGCTATTATTACTGGGCCACTGGTAGTATTAGGCTATTGTTAGAGGGCCACTGGTAGTACTAAGCTATTATTACTGGGCCACTGGTAGTACTAGGCTATTGTTACTGGGCCATTGGTAGTACTAGACTATAGTTACTGGGCCAATGATAGTACTAGGCTATATTTACTAGGCTATTGTTACTGGGTCATTAATAGTACTACGCTATTGTTACTGGGCCACTGTTAGTACTAGGCTAATGTTAGTGGGCCACTGATAGTAAGTAGTATATTCCATTTCATTTCATGGGAAAAATGCAACCAATCTATGAACTCCCAAAAAACAAGACCTAAATTCCCTACATTTCATAAATTCTTACAGCAAAACATCCTACATTACGAAAATTTAAGAAAACTCTAGGAAGCCGATTTTTGAATTTCGTTTTCGCTTTTTTGCAATTTCCGGTTAAATTTTTTCGAAATTTGAAGGCTCATATCTCGTGACCTTGACCTTTGATAAGCTTCATATTTATCATGATGATAATAGCCGACCTTGACCTTCTTATGACCTTTTGACCTTTGAGGTAAAACCACACCTTTTGGTTTTATAGGGATCTAAATATGGCCAATTTTGCACTTTTGCAGTGCTGTATCTCAATCCCTAATTGTATTAGCACGCTACCAACTAATATAATGTATATCACTTATTGTATATCAATGATGTCAAAGCCATATTTAAAAAAAAATGTTGCAATTTTCTTAAAATTTTGAACGCTTCTATCTCAAGAGCTATTGAAAATCAAAATGACCATCAAACTATCAATTTTCGTGTCTAGGGATGACCATGTTTTTTAATGCCCATTTTTGTATCGTCGTGGTGCGAATAGCCACGGACTTGCTTGCTAGTGTAATTAAAACAAGACCAAACTTTAGTTTCGTTTTATCATCAGCTTTTATTTTTAGTATAGCCAGTAGACTAATTACCGGACTCTTGAACATTCATCAAAATAACCTTTTTTACCTAACCTGCTATAACCAATTTACGCCTTCTTCGGGGTTGGCGTTTTGTGAGAGATTGAATGAATTGAAGTAGCTTAAAAGAAATACTTATAAATAACGAAACGAAAGTGGGTTTTGTTTTAATTACACTGGGTGCTTTCTTTTGATTTCCAGTGTCGAAGATAGATCCCAAAATGAACAAACCAGCGAAACCAGAAGTTCTCAGTAATTATATAACTTTGTTAATATTTTTAAAAAATTATTTTGTTTATGTCATTTATTAAATCTTTTTCTTTTTGATTTTCATTTTGTATGATTTTGAAAAATCTATTTTGTTTTAAATATATTTTTTTTAAATCTATTTTATTTACAATTTTTGGGGGTTTATTGATTCCATTCATTCGTTTATTTAAATCATTTTTTTTATTTAATTTCGTTCCATTTGCCGTTTTTATTTTCATTTTCATTTCGATTGTAAAAGGATAATGAAACTAATTTATTTTAGTTGATCACAACCTCCGACTGATTACGGAATGGCAGAAATGGGGTCCTTGTAGTAAATGTGGTCAACCAGGAGTACGAAAGAGATTGGGTACGTTTTAAACATTTTGAGCTTTTGATAAATATTATAGGTAAAAATATCCATCATAATTTTGTGATCTTTAAGGGTTGTGAGATTGCCAATAAATTTTAAAGAAACAGGGCGCCAGAGAAAGATATTATGATAGTAAGAAATCAAGATAAATCAAGGTAAATTGAAAAAACATGGAAGAAACGTCAAGTCGTTGTGGCGATACAAAAAATTGAGATCCTATTTTATGTTACAGACTAATTCCTCGACCGTTGGGTTTCTATACTTTGACAAAATTCCCTTCGTTGTACTCTGCATTGCATGGCACAGTCCTTTAGCACAGTAGCGACGTCAGGCCTCTCGGAACTATGTCTGATTGATTAAAGGGGGAATGCTTTTCGGGCATCAGACTCTGGATTTGCTCATGTGCATGTGTCAAAAGGGGTCTGTAAGGTTTCTCCCCAAGAAAAATTTTTGAATAAGGGAATTGAGCAAAAGAGTATAGCAAGCATATTTTTTCAATTTTCATAGAAGTGAAGGGGGGTAACTGATGCCTCCAATGCTTCTTCGTTTCCGTAAGAAATGAAATGAAATGAGTTTTACGTCCTTCTTTTCTGCACGTTTCCGTAAGAAGAATTTTAAATTAGTGCGTACAAATCCATAATATGAATTGGATGCTGCTACAGAGGGTGTCCTGGTTGTATCGGTAGGTTCGTGTGTAGTGGGGGAAGGAAAGTTAGACGTAAAATATTTTATACTGTATCTATCTTCAATATTTTATGTTAGGTTTTGTTGTAGGCATGTGTACAAGTTTTTATGTCATGGAGGAAAAAGATGGACGTAAACTCCATTATATGATGCTTATATATCAACCTGCTTTATTTTATGTTAGGTTTTGTTTTGTTTGTTGTAGGCTTGTGTATTGTGGAGAAAAAAGATGTCAAATACAAATGTTCACCGTGGTTTGTAGAAAGTGTCATGGCGTCCAACCCAACTGGTATACCGTGTCGTTCTACTATTTTCACTAATCACATCAACGTCGATCATCGGTCTGATGAAATTGTGAAAGAACCATGCGTTGAGAGATGTACAAGTGGGTTCCCCTTTGCTATTTGATATTTGGAGCAGATATTGTCTTTAGTATCACGTGACTCTGTGACCCTCGAACCATTGGCTGCGCACGTAGTTTCAAAAGACTGACGATAGGTCAGTTTCATTTAACTCTGATGGAACAGCAGACGTGATATAAATGGTGCAGAGGGATTTAAATAAACATTTTGAAAGTTGTCGGCTGATGAAGTCGAAACTCGAACAATGTCAATATAGCTATCAGGGGCTGGGATAGAGGTAGATGTCTCTTCAAGCAGTCAATTGTAGTTAATATTAGAGGGATTGTAAAGAGGTTTTCTAAACTTTTTATGTATAATGCTGTTAGCATCAATTTTCACCATTCAAATTTTCAGTCAAATTTGTTTGGTTCTTGCAATTTTGCCAAAACTTTGCACTTTCATAAAGGCTTCTATTATTATTTTCTAAGGTCCTTTGCTATTGTGACATTATCAACTACTAACGAACAGCACAGAATCATCTATTTATTTACCTATCCGACTATTTATTTATCTATACGATCTATTTATCTACCTATCCGACTATTTATTTATCTATACGACCTATTTATCTATCTATCCGACTTTTGTCTATCTATCCGACTATTTATTTACCTATCCGACTATCTATTTACCTATCCGACTATTTACCTATCCGACTATTTATCTATCCGACTTTTTATTTATCCGACTATTTATCTAGCTATCCGGCTATTTATCTATCTATCCGACTTTTTATCTATCCGACTATTTATCTAGCTATCCGGTTATTTCTCTATCTATCCGACTTTTAATCTATCTATCCAACTTTTTTATCTAGCTATCCGACTTTTTATCTAGCTATCCGACTTTTTATTTATCTATCCGACTGTCTATCTATCCGACTATTTATTTACCTATCGAACTATTTATTTAGCTATCCGACTATTTATTTATCAGACTGCTTATCTATCCGACTACTTATCTATCCGACTTTTTATTTATCTGACTATTTATCTAGCTGTCCGGCTATTCATCTATCTATCCGACCATTTATGTAGCTATCCGGTTATTTCTCTATCTATCCGACTTTTAATCTATCTATCCAACTTTTTTATCTAGCTATCCGACTTTTTATCTAGCTATCCGACTTTTTATTTATCTATCCGACAATTTATCTATCCGACTGTCTATCTATCCGACTATTTATTTACCTATCGAACTATTTATTTACCTATCCGACTATTTATTTATCCGACTACTTATCTATCCGACTACTTATCTATCCGACTTTTTATCTATCCGACTATTTATCTAGCTATCCGACTATTTATCTATATATCCGACTTATTATCTATCTTCAGGATCTATTTATCTCTCTATCCAACTTTTTATCTATCTATCCGACTTTTTATCTATCTATCCGACTTTTTATCTATCTTCCCGACTATTTATCTATCTATATGATCTATTTATCTATCCGACTACTTATCTATCCAACTTTTTATCTATCTATCCGACTTTTTATCTATCTATCCAACTATTTATCTATCTGACTTTTTATCTATCTATCCGACTATTTATCTATCCGACTTTTTATCTATCTATCCGACTATTTATCTATCCGACTTTTTATCTATCTATCCGACTATTTATCTATCTATCCGACTATTTATCTATCCGACTTTTTATCTATCTATCCGACTATTTATCTATCCGACTTTTTATCTATCTATCCGACTATTTATCTATCATCCGATTATTATTTATCTATGAATTTATCATATCTTTTTATTTATTTATTTGTAGAAAAGAAAAAGAAGGAAACTTCGAATGTAGCCAAACTAAATGATGTTATGTTCCGGAAACAGAAAGTTGGTAAGACACAGCGATACATTTCAGTATTTGGAAACGCCAAACGTTAAATTTGCGCAGGCGCCAAAATGAACGAGATTTTCATGGGACTACAAATCTAATGATACAATGTTTCCTTCAATGCACACTGCATGGCTTTGCCGATCTTAAATTCAGGCCACCTGAATTACGTTGGCTTCTGGGGACCTTTGGTGCCTCGAGTGACCTTTCAGAGACCTCTTATTTTTGCCCCTCTCCTCCCTCGGGCATTTTTCTAAATACGCCCCTGCTTCTTCAATGGGAATGTCAATGTGAAATTTTCCCATGATTTCTTTGTATAGATTTTTATTATTAATCTGTATATGAAATGCATAGCGTCATTGCATTTCATATATCTACGTATAGCAATGTCTTCTTAGCTCATTATTAGTTATGACCTTTGAAATAATAAGCTCTTTGAAACTATTATATTGCATTGTTGAACGATACACTGTCTAGACTCGTTTAATAATTTTATTACACGGATTATAATACAGTCATGTTATATATAAATCCCAAAATTAAGGATTACTTTGTGAATTTATTAGATTTCTTTTCTATGTTATACATTCAACGATGTATTCATAGGACTTTTTGTTTTTGGTAGGTTTTGCAGGTAACGCTGTTCGTGTTATATATGGTAGGGAACTCAAGATGAGCTGCCCAGGGTAAGGTCACCTTCAGTTCTTGAAGATTGCGAGTTCATATTGGTGTAGACCCAAACATCTGCCTCTGTTCCAGCCCCTGATAGCTATTTTGAGAGTTGTTGGCCGTGTTTTGTGGGAATTTTACTCATCTCCGAATGTGCGGGGTTTATCTAGTCGATAACTGTCAAAATATCTATCAGAGACTGGAATAGAGGCAGATGATTCGTATTAATATTAGTATTATATATTACATTTTAATCCCAATTTGGCATCTTGAAATATATATTCTGAAAATCCAAATTGCGATGACCTGATACCATTAAAATTACTTGTGGTTATTATTTTATCAGATTTGCATTTATTATAAAACTCCTAAAATTCAGTGAACTACACTTCTTTATTCGATTGATGTCGCGATTTGTATATTTTTGGATTGGTTTTAAATCTCAACCGACCCATTTCATTTTTATAAAATATGTTATTCCATAAAATTCCACCAAATTGAAAATGTTTCGTTTCATAGTATGAAATTTGAAATCCTTAAAATAAACAATACATGTACCAATTTTAGCGCATATTTTTATTAGCGGTTGGGGCGATAAGGAGGTTGGGATTTAAAACCCACCCTATATTGTTTCAGTGTTAATTATTGAAGAAGCATTTTGAATATTTCCAGAGCCAATTTGGATACAACAGTTACCTGGTTCTTTAAAGATAAACCTCTAGAAGCAGCCGCTCTGGCCAAGAGAACAAAGGGTCGAATGACAATTGATATACATAATGTTTTAACCATAAAGAAACTAGAGCTGACTGACTCGGGCAAATACGTTTGTGCGATGAATAAAAAGAAAAAGGTGGAAATTGTATTAGATGGTAGGTGATATTCTCACGGGTTGAGGGGACTGATTAATCATCTATTTGACCAAACTACCTAAATCTCAGAAACTAGAATTTGAATTAGTTAACGAGCAGAGCAGTTGGTTTCACGCACAACAATTTTTCTAGAATGAAACTAGAGCATACTGAATTATCGAAGCCAATTCACTAGCAGATAATATATTTCTGAGGTCAGAATGACAAAATGATTGTTTTTTTTTATTTCAGTTTTTATGGACAATACAGTGGGTAAGTATCAGCCTAGCGGCCTTTCGTTTACATTCGATCAACATTGAAATAGGAAGAACATCTCAAAGACAGGGGAGGTGGACAGTGGCGGGGAGTTAAGGGCTGTATCCTTTCGATCACGGCAGCGAAAAAACGGAGAAAATTTTATCGAGTCAAAAAAGGTGAGGTGGAATCTCCACTATCTAAATTACAAACTTTTGGATCATACGAATCTGTTTTGATAAAGTGAACCATGGGTCAGCTAATTATTGATAAGGGGCAAAGGACGATACTTAAAACTATGAGTATAATATTTTTTTGTTTATTATTTTAGAACTATGGGAGTACAGTTTATACCTATTGGCCACCTACCCCATAAACTTAATGATATTCCTCTCGTTGTTGGTCGTCAGGCACCGACAATATAAAGTTGGGGTGGTCCTAACTGAGAAAAAGATTAAAATGCTGGAAGGCATGAGTAGCAGCGAATCATCATCTGACGATGAATTTTAGAAATCCTACATCGTACAAGATTGCGTTATGAAGAGAAATCAACAACCTATTTTCAATGGACAGGTTTGCCAACCGTTTGGTCAATCGTACCTTAGTCTCAGAAACGGTATTTTTCTTTGCTCATCAGTAATAGTGTTCGCAGCTCTGTCGGAGCCTTTAAATCCATGTGTGTCCAGATGTATCCGCGTTAGATTCTCTGTTATATATAGAAATAGAAAGTTAAATTCCCAGTTTGGGGTTTATTTGAAGGAATTGTACGATTAGCGTACATTTCTATTACTTATGAGGACAATTTACATACATGTAAAATAAAATGATGTCGGATTACGCAGAATGTCGGAATACTCAGATGTCGGATATCATAGAATACATTGTATATGTATTCAAGCAACAAACAACCTTCCATAGTGGTAAATCTGTACCTTTTACATAGCTTTCTAAGCAATGACTCATCTTTTGGAAAGTTCTTAACTGCATTTAGTGTAGGCTAATCCTTAAAACAAAGTTTCCCCTATGTCATTTTCAACCTGTATTCAACGACAACCTAAAGATACGACCACTGGGAAGCGGTCAACCATTTTATCTATACAGAAACAAACCAGATATACTTTGTCTTTTATACCTATTTAACTTAATAACATTCATTAACTCAAATATAGATATCGTTTATTACAAGATACTTGTCCAATATCAGTAGGGACACAGGCTGAATTATATAGGTCAGTTGTCTGAAGATCGCATAACGAGTAACAACATTTTTTTATGGTTCTGTTTAAATATTTCTATATAGCTCTACAATAATAAGTTTTCTTGTATACATATAATAACTTTG